AAGTGGGATTAAAATCCTGCTAATGTTTTCATCTGCTTACAGTGGTCTCCTAAATAAATTATGAACTTTCCCCATTCTTTCTTCTGCTCGCCCTTTCAAAAGCAATTTGTAACCTAATTCCAGAAAACAAATACTGAGCATGCATATAAAGCTATAACAGATAGAGTGTTCTGGGGCAATGGCTTGATGCAATTTAAAAGTGCTTGAGTGCTAGTGGTGAATCACCTGGATTCTGCAAAGTGGTGCTCAGCACTAAGACAGCATGGTGCATCCCTCCAATAGAGCCCGGTGAGACAATTCACTGGTTGGAGCTTCCACTGCCAGGCCATCAGCCAGGAAAGGACTCAATCTCATGGCACTCAACTTTTTTCTGACTAAGCACTCAACAGATTGGGCTGGTAGGTTGCTTCCAGCAGGGAGGAGGCACTAAGTGTTGTGGAATTTGCTGGTCTTTGTGGCACAGCAGGATTTAATGGGAGGAGCACAATCCAAACGAGAAATGTTGTCCAATACAGCATTTTGTACCCCTTTGCAGGCCTTTCTCCTGCCTTAGATAAAATGTGAGGGAGCAAAACAGGAGATGATATAAACCCTCAATAAATTCACAGGTGTGCTTCCCTTCCTGATTTCAAAATTTATTTTAACCTATTTGACCTTATTCATTTTGTTGCATCATCTGTTTTTTTCTGTCCCTAATCTAGAGAAAGCTTCATTTTCTAATAAATTCAGTACAGAGGTCTCACTAGATTACTATGGCTGAAACAAAGCTGTTAGCAATTAGTGGGTATTTCCTATAAGTATAGGATCATATCCTGTACTGGATAAGTATGCATTTATGAACCAGCTTGTGCATTTAAAGTACTGCTCACCAACAAAATGTCTGCTTTAATTGGTAATGTTGTCACAGGAAGCAGCCATAAATCAATTGTGTCCAAGATTTTTGCAGAGCAGGTGTGGTGTCATAGGTAGAGTATTGCACTATGGCCTAGGAGACCAGGGTTCAAATCCCCACTTGCTATAAAGCTTACTGGGTGTTCTTGGGCCAGTCACTGTCTCTTAGTCCAACAAAATGGGGGGGGGCAGAAGGGGGGGTTATACTCCTCTGAGCTCCTTGGAGGAAAACATGGTATTTAAAATATAATAAATCAATAAATAAGAACATACTTGTGACAGTATAATGGTCAAGAACCATTAGTCAAGTAAGGCTAATTCCCAGTAATCTTCCCAATATATACAGTGATACCTCGGGTTACATACACTTCCGGTTACATACGCTTGAGGTTACAGACTCCGCAAACCCAGAAATAATACCTCGGGTTAAGAACTTTGCTTCAGGATGAGAACAGAAATCGTGCTCCGACGGCGCAGCGGCAGTGGGAGGCCCCATTAGCTAAAGTGGTGCTTCAGGTTAAGAACAGTTTCAGGTTAAGAACGGACCTCCGGAACGAATTAAGTACTTAACCCGAGGTACCACTGTACAGAGTTTCTAGAACCAAGAATGTAGGTCTGCATCTCACATTATATTTCAAGTCATGGCTGTTTTCATTCTCGTCATTCCTGAATCTGCCCATAGGAGTAGGGTGGGGTAATTGTGTGAGAACTATAGTACCTCCCTCAGGGAGAAAGTCTAGGCTGAATATTTTCCTTGGCAAAAAACAGATGTGTCTTGTAATGTAGCTAGAGTGTCACCCTGTGGAATTCAAGTAGAACATCTTCATGTACTAGTTTGCTTGAGAGCTCCATTACTTGGGGCATGTAGAAATATATTTGGCATCAGAATGGATAGGATGACCTCTAAGGTTCTCTGGTGTGAGCTGTCCCCAGAACCGTGGCCACCATATCTGATGCTGAATTCTATGTTACCCAATTGACTAGGATTATGACGCAGGTGGCGCTGTGGGTTAAACCACAGAGCCTAGGACTTGCTGATCAGAGGGTCAGTGGTTCGAATCCCCGCAACGGGGTGAGCTCCCGTTGCTCAGTCCCTGCTCCTGCCAACCTAGCAGTTCGAAAGCACATCAAAGTGCAAGTAGATAAATAGGTACTGCTCCGGCGGGAAGGTAAACGGCGTTTCCATGCACTGCTCTGGTTCGCAAGAAGCGGCTTAGTCATGCTGGCCACATGACCTGGAAGCCACATGACCAGCCAGTAAAGCGAGATGAGCGTCGCAACCCGAGTCGGCCACGACTGGACCTAATGGTCAGGGGTCCCTTTACCTTTACCTTTTATGCAGTGAAGAAGCCCTTTTAAGAATATATGGTGCCTGAGCAACAGGAGATGGGGAGCAGTGGCTGCAAATCCCACAAAACAATGGGCGGCTCCTCCTTGGAAAAGACACCTGTTGTTGCTATGAAAATTGCACCACATGAAAATTCAGGGCAGAAGCATGGTGTTTCTGAACAATTTGCACCACCTGCCCCCCACAGTGTGCACTAAATGAAAGTAGGAATGGGTCTCATCTGGTCCATTGCTTCTCACTTCAGCTCTTCTGATGGCTGACACTAACGCTGAATAACGTTGAGATTTCTCCGTGTCTGTCATGAAAAGGGCCACCTCCCAGACCAGCACAATACTTCCCTGACCCTTAGGCTGCACTATGGCAGCAAGAGCCACCCTCCTTGCAGACAGAACTTCCATCAAAATTAGGATATTATTGCCTGCATGGATTTCAGTATCAAAATATTCGTGTTTTCTTTGCTTCCCTCCACTGCGACCCTTTTTCTACCTCACAGTGTTGTGTTGGCGTAGGTGCAAGAATTCAAGGCTCATTTGAAAAGAGATGTTTTAAGGCACGTTTTGTAAAAAAGGTGTTTAGCTTTTCCTATTTCACCAGGTAAATCTGGTCCATATTTTAATCATTTTAAGACCCATCAAGCCACATTTAGGGAACATTTGGATATTCTGTGCCTCTCTGAAGATAACAGGTGTTGGAGGTGTCTTGCTGACGTGGATGAGTATTTTTGTCAGTGAGCGAGAGAGTAGCGAAACAAAGCAATGTGACGACTTAATATTGATAGGACATTGAAGGATTTGAGTAATTTGTTGCCTTCAGCCAAATTCCTCTACAAGCAATACAGGAAGGGAATAATGCTGTAAGAGTGTCAGAAAAACACTCATAATTAAGGATGTTTCTGTAGCACTTGAGGGCAAGAGCTTTTCAGGAGGATTTCTAATGTTGATAGCTAAGGCGACTTCCTGGAAATTAAAAACAATTCATGTGTAGAAGGAAATCAAGTTAGCGGTCTCAGCTATAGAAGGGGAAGCTCTGAGACATCTGTTCCTTTTCTTTCTTTGGCGTTCCCTGCTATTCCCCCCCCCTTTCTTTCCAGGTCTCTAGACAATTAATTGTTCTCATTTTAAATAGCTGTAAGGTAGACTGGATGAAGGTGGCGATCAATTACATGAATGTCAGTTTGGTGACTTTTCCTGCAAAGTAAACAGGTTTGGGAATGTGTGGCACCAAGTTGGAATCTCCAAGTTACTTACTGAGGAGGAATCCCAAAGGCTTCACTTGTGCTACTCCTAAGGGGTGTCAGTCTCCTCCATTTTTAATGCGTACAGGGGTCACGTGGGAAATAACCTTCAGGGTTCAAAGACCAAATGCTATGCTATGCTGTGCTAGCACTTTATCAAACATGAATGCTTAGCTTTCTCTGGCCCAAAATAGGCATAATGCTAAATGCCTACATCATCTTCTCTCTTTTTTAATGTATAGCAGTCGGCAAGGCTGTGTGTGACTTTTTTTGCTTCTGTGATGCACAGTGCTGTGAATTAATTCTTTTCCTCCACAACCACCACAGCCCTGACAAAAATCACCTGCCACAGGCTGCCATCAGGCCAAGGAAAAACCTTTGGTAGCACCAATGGTAGCGTCCCTTCTGGGCTTAATAGTGGCCACCAGAGAGGAGGGGTTGACACTGGGATGTGGGTGGTGCTGTGGTCTAACCCATTGAGCCCCTTGGGCTTGCCGATCAGAAGGTCGGCAGTTCAAATCCCCACGGCAGGGTGAGCTCCCGTTGCTCTGTCCCTGCTCCTGCCAACCTAGCAGTTCGAACGCATGCCAATGCTAGTAGATAATTAGGTACTGCTACAGTGAGAAGGAGGGGACATGGGTGGCGCTGTGGGTAAAACCTCAGTGCCTAGGACTTGTCGATCGTATGGTCGGTGGTTCGAATCCCCGCGGCGGGGTGCGCTCCCGTCGTTCGGTCCCAGCGCCTGCCAACCTAGCAGTTCGAAAGCACCCCCGGGTGCAAGTAGATAAATAGGGACCGCTTACCAGCGGGAAGGTAAACGGCGTTCCGTGTGCTGTGCTGGCTCGCCAGATGCAGCTTGTCATGCTGGACACGTGACCCGGAAGTGTCTGCGGACAGCGCTGGCTCCCGGCCTATAGAGTGAGATGAGCGCACAACCCTAGAGTCTGGCAAGACTGGCCCGTACGGGCAGGGGTACCTTTACCTTTACCTTACAGTGAGAAGGTAAATGGCGTTTCTGTGGATTAGCTAGTTGGCCTGAATTCATTTAGAATCGGAATGCTTTAGCAACCCACCAGGGCTGGATTTAGGTTTGATGAGGCCCTAAGCTACTAAAGGTAATGGGGCCCTTTATCTGTCCAGCTGTCCTTTGTCAACAAATTGTTGCTGTTTTTTGTGTTGAATATATGCTATATGGTAATTTATGGACCTAATAGGTATCTAAAGCCATTTGCACATAACAAAATACGTATTTTATCGAAGTAATTGTTGAACTGAAATAGAATTAATACATGTACATCCAGTTCCCTCCCCTTTAATTTTTTTGGGGGCCCCCAAGAGAGTGGTGCCCTAAGCTATAGCTTGTTTAGCTTATACGTTAATCCATCACTGTAACCCACACTTCATCTGTCACATTGGAACTGCTCAGTAGACTAGAAGCCCCAAGGTTATGTGATGCTGCTTGCTGAAAATAATTGGGTACAGTACAATGAACGTTTCTACAATAATTTTGCATTTGCCTCGTTCTAGTATATGACGGCTGCTGCTCCTATGCAAGGGACGTACATCCCCCAGTATACTCCTGTGCCTCCAACAGCTGTCCCTCTTGAAGTAAGTCCACTTGGCTTGTGTTTTCACCTTGTTTCACCTCTTTGGGAAAGCATCTCTTTAAACTGTTTTTAAGGATGGGACCATCTGCTTGTATGGTGTAGCTCCCCTTAGAGAAATACACAGGTTTGGTTTTAGTTTTCACTGAAGATGAAATGGAACCTTCTGTCGGGTAGTTCAGTCTTCATGGGGGGGGGGGAGGTGACAACAGGAACAGGTAACCAAAACCAGACGTCAGACCACAAACACAAAAGAGGTTCAAGAAAAGAAGACTGCAAAAAAAACACACGGGAGGTTTGATGCTCTCCTTAGCATAAGGCTTTTGCCCATAGCTGATTTCTGAAAGCCCTTGAGACCCACCAGAAATCGTGACTGAGCAAAGGAAACCTTCCTCTTGTATATATGCAGAACTGGGGGCTGCTGCACTGACTGGGTGCTTTTTCATCCTTGATGAAGGATTTGCTCCCTCCCACCTTGGGGCCGAGTCCTGCTGCTGACAGTCTAATGAGTAAGTATTTGCTCGGCACTGTGGACCACCAGCTACCCGGAAGAGCTGACTTCTGCTGCTGTTCATCTTCATAAGGCCTTCTGGACAAACAAACAAACAAACAAACAATAAGGAAAAAAGGGGACCCTTGAAGGGAGAAGAAAGGTGGTGTTCACTCTTAAATCCATGTGTTTCTTTTTGGTTCTTCACAGTTTTATCATAGCCTACTTTTCACCCAGTTATATATATATATGTGATGGGCACAGCATGGACTCAGTGATGGTGTCTTGAACTATGCCTCGTTTACACCGGATTCAGCTGTCACTCCTTGGATAGCTGAAGATGCTTTCCCCCAAGAAGCCACATTGGCTATAAATATTTGGGCTCTGCATAAAAGACTTCTACACTGTGTTGCCTGCAAATAGCCGTTCTCCCCAGTGATCACCTCACAACTGTTTTATCCATTCTTTTGAAAGCTTTGCAGTACAGTGGTTTTTCACTCTCTATCATGTTTTGCTGTCAACTTTAATCCTTACATTCCGTTTGAACACTCTTCATAAACCTTTATAAACTAACACCATGGTATATATTTTTGAAAAAATAATGATGATAATTCTGAATTTGGAACTCTGAGCGTTAATTGGCTACCTCTTCAGCAGAAAAAATAATCTTAGTCACATAGGATTCAAGAAAGAATGAATTTGAGATTTTTAGAGCGCAATAACAAAGCTATTTTAAATCAGTAATATGCCTTCACCAAATCACAAATTAAACCAGAAATGCTTCTGAGAACTATTTTTTAAATGTTTTCTTTAAATGTTTTTCAAAATAGCAAAAACCTATTCCCGCAAAAAATACTTTCCATCAAATTCTAAAGTATAATGTGCACAATTTTACAAGCCACAGCAAATCACATCATAATGCTGTCGTGTTTCATCTTTCCATTACCTATGCAGAAATTACCTTTTAAAAACGATCCGAAAAGCCCTTGCATTGTTGTCCAAAGCATGATACAGAAAGTGCACTTTGTGTGTGTCGCAAACCCGACATGCCTGTCTGGTGGGTCTGGATTCCGATCTCACGGCAACGAAAAAGGGAACACCCTCATTGGGTCAAATATTAAATCGCTCTGAGTGTGATCCAAATCAGACCAGCCATGCATATGTGACGAAGTAGAATAGCCTGGAGAGTGTGGATTTCAACACTGCATTTGTATGGGAAGAGCTTTCTGCAGGTCTTCAGTGCAAAGCTGCAGTCTTGGCATGCCTCTCTATTAAACGTGTAGCCTTTGTGTCCTACCAGCATGCTGCTTCCGTAATCCCTGACACTCCACAAAATAATGCAATGATGTACCTGGAAAGAAATAATGAAGCTGGTGAGATTATATACCACCTCTTTTCTCCTGTATGTCGCTGGTGTTATTACAGGCAGTAAGATCTCTTGTGCTCCTGTTCATCTCCTCAGGGTGTTGTCGCCGATACCTCTCCACAGACAGTAGCACCTTCATCACAGGAAGCCAGTGGTCAGCAACAACAGATGGCTGTGGAAACGTCCAGTGAACATGCACCCACGTATTCCTACCAACAGTCAAAGTAAGTTGACGGCGTTCGTCAAATGTGAATCGGGAACACATCATAATTCAGAGGAAACATTTTGAAGTGGCGCCGGTTAATAGGACAAAAACAATTATGCATTGTGTAGGGACGCGGGTGGCGCTGTGGGTTAAATCACAGAGCCTAGGACTTGCCAATCAGAAGGTCGGCGGTTCGAATCCCCGCGACAGGGTGAGCTCCCGTTGCTCGGTCCCTGCTCCTGCCAACCTAGCAGTTCGAAAGCACATCAAAGTGCAAGTAGATAAATAGGTACCGCTCTGGCAGGAAGGTAAATGGCGTTTCTGTGTGCTCTCTGGTTCACGAGATGAGCGCCGCAACCCCAGAGTTGGTCACGACTGGACCTAATGGTCAGGGGTCCCTTTACCTTTACCTATGTGTGTGTGTGAGAGAGAGAGAGAAGGGGGGGCCTGTCTTTTATTCCCATTTTAAAAACGGGGAATTGAGAAAGATATATTAAGTCTATTGAAACCATACCAACAATGAAATCCGCTCAGTGCCCACCCTTTCATTAAAAACAGTCAGTTCCCCAAAGCCTCTTTGAACAAGAACATTTTCACCTGCTGGCAGAAGGACAGCAAAGAGGGAGCCAATCTAGCTTCTCTAGGGAGGGAGTCCCAAAGTCTGAGAGCAGCCACCAGGCTCATAACCAGCATTTTGAATTGTGCCCGGAAACAGATGGATAGGCAATGGAGCTGTTGTAGCAAGGGAACTGTCTGCTCCTGGTCGACAATCTGGCTGCAGTTCTTTGAGCCAGTTGAAGTTTCTGAGCACTTTTCAAAGGCAGCCCCGCATAGAGCGTGCCACAGTAATCCAAATAGGATGTAACTAAGGTGTGTGTCACTGTGGCCAAATCAGACACCTCAAGGAACAAGCCCAACTGTTGCACTAGCTTAAATTGTGCAGATACACTCCTGGCCACTGCAGAGACTTGGGCATCCATGTTCAGGGCTGAGTCCAGGAGCAAGGCCAAAATGCAAACCTGTGTCTTCAGGGGGAGTGTTATCCCATCCAACACAGTCTGAATCCCTATTCTGCCTTCCAGCTGACCCAAAGCACATCTGTCTTGTCTGGATTAGGTTTCAATTTGTTCCCCCTCATCCAATCCATTACAGATGACAGACACCAGTTTAGAACTGAAGCAGCTTCCTTGGGTTTAGGTGGGAAGGATAAATAGTGCTGACTGATTTAACCTTACTATTATTTCCTTTTCCCCCTCACTCTACACACAGCTTCCTTGTTCTTCTAGAGCAGCTGAAACTTGCCCCATTTTCTGCACACTCAGAGTTGTGTTCTGTCTTCTGTTTTAGAGCAGAGCCACACCGTACATTTAAAGGACATTCAACACACATTAAAAGCACATGGCTTCCCCCAAAGAATCATGGGAACTGTACTTTGTTAAGGGATCTAGGAATTGTAGGAGAAAACTGCAGTTTCACAGATTTTGGACGGAGGCGCCATATCCTTTGAATGTGCTTTGAGTGTGATGTGCACATCTGCCATTAGTGCACCTTGAGTCGTTTTTAATTTATCAGCGCTCTGTTTTGTAATCCCTTTGAAGCTGCTACGCACAACTGTCTGTGATTGCTGTAGCATACAGTACTGTGATAGCATTGTGCACAAGCACTTACCGTGGTAAGCAACACAATTTTACCAGGAGCAGTATTATGCCACACCCTTATTGCTGAAAATCCTTTGCTGTGTCTGATTTGGAGGCACATGCGTGGTGCTGGCAGCAGGCCATACGACACCCCTGGTTTAGCAGCAATGGCAGGAATATTGGAAAATCTGCCAAGTGAGTAAGATCTCACACGGCACTGGGTGAGATCTCGCCCCAAATCAGCACACTGTTGCCTGAAATGGCCTCTGATCGTGGTGGTACTTCTCCACCAGCAGCAGATTTGGCAGGGTGCGTGGCAGTGACAGAGCGGGCAGTCCACGCAAGAGGCAGCAGCAGGTATAGTGGTGGTGGCGGCAGTGGCAGCAGGACAAGGCGAAATGGGATAGGGCTCCCCTATCTGGCGTAAGACAATAGTTTTAGGTATTCTCTCCACGGTCAGGCACTCTGAGCTAGAAAGAGCTAAGATGATCTTAGAAAGTGCCAGGCAGAGTTCTGGGTTCTCTGTGCAATTATAAAATTCTTCACTGGGTCAAAGGAAGATGCATGCCATTAAATATATTCTAACAGAAAGGATGAGTGAAGAAATTATTGACAGCAGGGGGTGTTACAGAGAGTGGCAGGTGGGAAGTTCAGCTGAGAAGAGACGTGTCAAGAGAGTTAGAGAGAAATAAGTGACTGAGTTGAGGGAGAGTGAAAATAGAGGCAAAATGCTTTGGAAACTATTCGTTATAATTTATTAAGTGTCTCCTTGTTCTATACTGGCTGCCTTGCGGGACATTTTCGGGAGGCTAAGAAGTAAGCTCTGCACAAATCTAGAGTGGAGTCCCTAAGGCAACCTTCCGACAACTCCTGCAGCCAAGCTGGTGCCAAACGTATCGCTCTGCTTTCCTTTGCACCATATCAGTGAGGCCGAGAGGGGGGTCTTGTTGTCTGGGCAGCCCAGGACCTCCATACACATTGCCCAGGCTTGCACTTCAGAGAGGTCACTTTGGTGCTGCCAAAACAACATAGGAGGCCGCAGTTATGAGTTACCAGTCTCTGCAGCCACAGCAGGCGCTGTGATTCTCCTGGGATTTGAATTCACCCCCCAGAGGCTCACTCCATTGTCTCTCAAGACAGATGGATGCCGACAATGACTTGTTCTTGCTGTTATTTTTCAGATCTCTATTACCCCCCCCCCCCACTTTTAAATCCATTTATGATATATGGGATTCTAGGTTAGCAGATCTCACCCACTGTCCTCCTTTTGAATTAGCCAGGTAAATAAATACAAGGTGTGCCTGACTACTGTCTGCAAATCAGTAGCGGGTTATTTTGGGGACTGTTAAGGGAAAGTTTGATTGGACCAACCAGGTGATCTCTAGGGCCCAGGGCATTTCAAGAATTTTACAGATACACTTATTATAATCCTTTGGTCTCAATGTATTTTTTTAATGCATTTTCTGCATTCTCCCTATGCTAAGTAAGTTCAGCTTGGTTATAGCCAAGGGGTGGGGATTTTTTTTTTTTAAGTAGGTAGGCAGGATTATTTTGATTTAATGATTCCTTTAATTCAATTGTTTTTGCAGACAATAAACAGGACTGAAAAATGTCGGTCTGAAAAGTTTGCCTTGAATGGAGAAACTTCACCGAGCAAGAAGTTGGCATCCAGTTTGCACAGGCATCAACAGAGTTTTCTTTTAATTTTCTACCTTACCCAACGAAAACAAAACAGTGTTTCTATGTGCTGTGCAGATTGTTCAGTCATGTAGTCTGATAGTTTTATTTTTGCTATTTTTTTATTAAAGAAAAAAAAACCCACGGCAAAACACTGGGTTGGTCTTTTATCTGGATGAACATTTGAAATTCAGAATTTACTTGGAAGTGTAGATAGATTTGTTTTTGTTTTCCAAAAAGACACAAAAACAGAGAACCGATGATGTCAAGAGGGAGCAAGCTGAGATGAAAACTAATGGTCTTCCTCAAGAATCCAGCTACTCTTTCCCCTTTCCCTTTCTCCGTGAAATCCAGTGTGTCTTTTATTTTGGGTTCATTTTTCTTTCTTTGTTGTTTTTTTTTAGAAATGTTTAGGTAAGGTTTATCTTGAATCTTTATTGCCTTAATTTTAAGGACGTCAAAGGCTCTCAAGGCAAGCTGTCAACGTCTTGGTAGAAGAAAGGAAAATGGATTCAAACGTCCACGACATCAACTGGTGAAGTTCAACAGACTGAATTTTTAGGATGAACAAAAAATATATATATAAGCTGTACAGTTTAGCAGAAAACGATCTTTTTCTTCTTTCGAAGAAAACTTGTTGATAAAGGAACTGTGGAGACTTCGAGAATTGAAAAACATGCAGACTTTTATGAACTTTCTTAGTGTTGACAGAGAAGAATCTAGAAAGCTAAAGTGTTTTACAATAAAATTATTGAACTATGGGGGGGGGGAATCAACTTGCATTTTAAGGAATGCAGGTTTTTTTTCTTGCAGAATGGAGATTTTTTTTTAATTTACAAAGTGTGATCGCTGGCAAAAGCATTAGTGCTTTTTATCTGCAGTCTTTTTTATGAGCTTTAAAAAGTTTTTAGTCTGCTTAGCTTGTCACATTGCAAACACCTAGCTTAAAAGCATTGGGCGGGGGGGCGGAACTTAAGTAGATAGGAGCTTATGGTCAAAAAAGTGCAAAAAAAAAAAGCAATAGCTAGAAGAAATTGTTGACAATTTCTGTAGTCTTTCCTAGTTGTGATCAAATGCAGCCTATGGATGGCCTATTTTATACCAAAGATGAAATGACAACCTACCGCAGTCCAGAAGATAGAGTCGTTCCCCCCCCTTATTTCTTCTTTTTTAAAAAAAAAATCTTTATTTGACCTACATGGCCGGACCAGTTTCTTAACTTTGTGTTTGTTTAAACTACCTTCCACTGGTGTTGTACATTCTATATGCTTAGGCTTCTAATGGAAAGTTCTGAGTAGTTGGTACTTAGCAATGCTTTGCGGAATTTCACAGCATGAGAAAGATATCAGTCGCCAGCTGTTCTTACCCAGGTGCATTTAAACTTTGCTGAGCTTTTCCATTGCGTTGTCCGATTTCTTTTGTACTGAACCTACGGTCTTCCTTCTTCTCAGCATCTCACAGGTTCGTTTCCTCCTCCTCCTCTTCCTCCTCCCTGGGTCATCTTCCCGTGCTCAGAACCAGCCATCTCCATTTTGCATTTTGGCGGTCTGCTCAAGTCACTTAGAAGATGATTCTAAAAAGTAGGCGATCGGTGTTTTCGTCTTAACTCTCCCCTGCAAGAAGAAAGATTAAAATGGTTAGTTCTCTCATGCTAGCATGAAGCTAACAACCACTTTGTACTAACTGGCTTTCTGTTGTCTTAATATGTTTGCTGACAATCATTAATTAGTTTGATTAGGCAAAAGACAATAGCAAGTACGTTGAATTGGCAAAGAAACCCTATTTTTAAATGATAAAAGAGTTTATGGAGTCTATATATTGGAGGGCCTAAGAGAATTACCCTTCCCCCACCCAAAAAAGGGAAGGGTGTCATGCAGTGAGAATTTTAAGACTGGCAGTGAAGAATTTTACCAGTGTATGTGGAAAGTTTTAAAAGTATGCATTCCATTCATTTCCAACTTCCTTGTTCTCTAGTAAGTTTCAACAAGCGGCACAATCCACTGGGAATCTCTGCTGTGTAAACACGGTTTAAAAATGAAGGGGAGTTAAGCATAACATAAGCCTGAGCATTCCCATAGAGGTTGGGCAGGTTGCTGGAGATTACTGCTCCAATATTGCCACCACTCTTGATGAATGAGGCACCAAAGTAGAAGATTTCTGTTCTCTGTGGCAGGCAAAAAGATCTAGCGAAGGAAGCACTTAAACAAAGCCCAAATGATTGAAATGGCCTCCAGTGGCAGCAGTGGTGGGGTGGCTGTTAAATGATAATGGGTTCACCGCAATGACAGTGGTGTCTTCAAAACAGGGTAACCATACTGAAAAGTGACAATAATATTATATATATATATATAAATGCTAAAACAGGTTTCCTTTGAATCGACCAGGTTCAATGGCCCCAGTTGTGATGTTAAGGGTGCAACCTATGAAACACACAAGCCTCAGCGATAGGATAGGAAGTTTGTGGGAGGAATGTCCACGGAGTCCATGGTTACTTTAAATGACTTTTTAAAGAATCAAGTATTTTTTTAAGAATGCTAAAAAGTGTTTCCTTATTTTTAATGTAAGTATCTCTTGTTTGGTGGGGATGGGATTGGGTTACCCAAACAAATGGCTGCTAAATATGCAACGTTAAATATGAAAAACGTAAAAATTAAAAACAGTGGAACCATCTAGCCAACCGTTATAGACAAGGGGGCCTGGCTATGTGAGATTCTAAACGTACATGTAGTTTTCCAGTTACTACATATGGACTATTCTGACTCAAAGGACCACAGCGCTGGGGTCATGGGGGGAGTTTCCATGTTATGTAAAGATCTTTAGCTTCTTCCTTTCTTTCACGTGCTTTGCCACTGCTGTTTACTTTCTGTGATCATCACTTGATTATTTTCTCTTTTTTTCCTTTGGAAAGCATGTGCCTGTTGGATGGGACATGGGGAAAATAATCAAGCCAGCCTTATTTTTCTTCCTTTTAATGCTGTATCTTTTTTTCCTGTATGTATAAAATAGAGATTATTCTTCTGTGGCACAATTTTGTTGAATATGAAAGAAGCACGCGTTATTGTTTTGTTCTTTTTTTTAAAAAAAAATTGTTCCTGTACAAATTCTAGTTTGGTGCAAAGAAAAGTCTCATTGCTGTTGACAGTGAGGCTGCAAGGTAGCTACCGTGTGGCTGGTGGGATATGCTGAAGTACCTTCCCGATTCTTCTGTTCAGAAATCTGTTGCTTTATTTATACATTCTCATTTTGTTTGACTTGGTTCAGCAAATACGGTTAAATCACGGAAGATTAAGTTGTCAGTGGGGCGGCGGCAGCAGCAAATAGTCCATATCATGACTTCAGGTGTTTTTTAAAAAGCTGTTTCGATTGTTTAATTTCCTTTAGACATCCTACTTCTTTGTTGTTTGGCAAAAGGAAAAGAAAGAACTATCCGTTCCTATAAATCACCTGACATTGATAGATCCACTTTGATAAACTGACCAGCTAACAGCCTGGAAGTAAATCCATAATATGTTCGGAGCTGCACTGGCATAAATGGCCACTGAACACCCCCCTCAAAAAGAAACCCCCCAAGGGTGAGCCTTCATTCTAAATTTAGTTTTATTAACAATTTGATTTGCTTCACATTTATGAGTCTTCCTGCTTGGTCCGGGGGTGGGTTCAAGATCTTTGTCCAGTTGCTGCAAGATGGTAGGAACTTAATATTTTGACCTTGTGCAGACCCGACTGCGCAAAATAATATAAATGGCAAGTTGGAAAACAAGATTCTTCTTCCTCTAGTGAACATTTCCATGCATAGTCTTTATCCAACTCCAACCTAAGATGGTGCTTCAATTTTGGCCTAGATAGGTCCAAGTTTAAAAATCCTTAGAATTACGTTATCTGCTTTGCACAACCACAGAAGTTTTATTTCCCCCAAAAACTAGGTTCCAGATTTCAAAGCCGTTTTCAGTACAACATGGTGTGGCTGCTGTTAGAAGAGATCTGAGTCTTGCTGGACATGTAAGCTGTCTGATGCCCCTCAAAGGTGCTTGCAAGTTTGCAACCTCAATATACATAGACTTTGCATTTCAGAATGTCCGCAAGGTCTACCCAGACAGTAATGATTTTTATGTGCTCAGTGTTAAAGTTCTTTGTGAGTATCAGCGACTCTTTCTTGCAGGGATATCTAACCCCTTGATATCCTATAGAGAGAAGGAATTGTGAAACTTTCACTATTGATTAACTTATTGCACTGAGCATTCCCTTACTGCTACAGAATATTGGCAATGTTTACGTAAGCACTCTCGATTTCTCAGAATGAGAGTTGAAGTTAACGGATGGAGCTGAAACCCACTTATCTATACTTTGCTCCAGTAATAGGGATGCGGGTGGCGCTGTGATCTAAACCACTGAGCCTCTTGGGCTTGCCAATCAGAAGGTTGGGGGTTTGAATCCCCACGATGGAGTGAGGTCCCGTTACTCTGTCCCCGCTCCTGCCAACCTAGCAGTTCGAAAGCACCCCAGTGCAAGTAGATAAATAGGTACCGCTGCGGCGGGAAGGTAAACGGCATTTCCATGTGCTCTGGTTTCCGTCACGGTGCCCTGTTGCACCAGAAGCGGTTTAGTCCATGCTGGCCACATGACCTGGAAAGCTGTCTGTAGACAAATGCCAGCTCCCTTGGCCCTGAAGCAAGATGAGCGCCGCAACCCCATAGTCACCTTTGACAGGACTTAACTGTCCAGGGGTGCTTTACCTTTACCTTTTTACCTTGCTCCAGTAATGTATTTTGAAGGAAAACAAGTTTCTTTGCAGATCCCTTCTTTGAGCACACACCATCACTTGCATTGTCACCTGTACATACGGGCTCTTACACAGACAGATGGAAGTCCCCATAACTTCATCTTCTTCCTGATCTAATAATCCTGCACCTTAAATGTACAGATTAGGTCACCAATCAAAAGCAATGCAGAAGGAGCCGCTCAAATGCCAATATCAGCATCAGCTGGGTGGGTGATGGGATGCTGGCATGCAAACAACTCGATTAGGGTTATCCAGTTGTGATTCCATCTTCCACATGTTGCCAAGGCAACACGGAATTGCTGAGAAGCAGTTTTTGGATGACTAGCCACACAACTGTGACGACATCTGAACTGGGCCTTAAAAGATAGACTTCGATCTTGATGTTATCTTGCAACAAATTGTTTGAAGGATTCTATGGCTTTTTCAGCAGTTCCAGATCTCTGCTCAGCAAAAGTATTTTGATCTGAGCTGATTTCCTGCCAATTCATTTGAATCCAAGTATTTGATTATGGTGACGGAGCAAAGGGTAAGATTTTAAAATGCTGGAAAAGAGACTTTTAAAAATTACGCAGTTGTCTTACAAGATTCTATTTTTTGAAGGCCCCCTGGTAGCATCCAAGGATTTTGGATTCCTCTGTCAGTGAACCCTGAAAGTGTTCCTGGTTGTGGGTTCATAGCTGCATGGCTTGCCAAGAAGCTTAAAGTGTCTCACTGCAGTAGTTCAAAGCAGAACTTTAGAGATATTTTGAAGTAATTCCATCGTGTTCTGCAATATTGGTGTTCACGTCTGAGGAAGAAAAGTGGTGAACAGGCAAACAAGGGATTTTGCAGTGAGCCTAAGCATTAAAAATGCATTTTACGTTATCAAAAATAAGAAGGAAGGATATTATTTATGTATGTGTGGCGACCAAACTCAGCAGATTTGAGAATGCCTGCAGTGTAATAAAAGTTTATTTTTAATATGTCACAGTATTTTGATCTAAATTATGTTGTCTATGGTATTAAAGAAATGATGTGAAATATGTAGAAAGTTGCCTTGGTTCATGATTTTAAGCCTGAAGGTGGCTTATCAGCCACCACCCCTATCATTTTAATGCTGAGACTGACATGAGTGAAACAGGTTTAAGGATAGTCTCCGGGACTATTACCTGTATAGTAAAAGTCATGTGAAAAGTGTGATTATGGGCTTAACATAATGAATCAATCCACATGGTGATGAGACCAAATATGGAATTTGAAGATAGTTGTGTTTGAGTCATACATGGCCAACATTTCATTTCAAGGCTTTATTTAACATGAAATTGGTTCTGATGTACAAAGGTATAAAGGATTTTCAAGTCCTCAGCGTTAGACCAAGGATATTCTAGCGGTGTGATGACATTGCAAAGGGGAAAAAAGCACGCTGCATGTTTCAGAGAACCTCTCCTTTTTTTAAAAAAAAACAACCCTATCTTGTTCCTCCACAGCGGTGGGTGAGTTACTTCATTTTGAATAAAGCATAAACATAATCATGCATGTAAGCACCCATGTGCGTACTTGGCAAGGAAGGTCAGTGACTGATCCGATCTTTCTAGTCCTTGTTGAGCAGTTTCAGGAATCATGAAATATCAGAAGAAAGGTTATTTCTCTTAGGAGGGGAAAAAAACCCTTCTTCTACTGTCATATCACCTAAAGTGGATTCCAGTCTCAAATTCCTCTTCATACCTCAGACTACAGAAAAGAAACAGTATTTTCACTTTTACTGACATGTTCTTTGTTAAAAAAAATAAATGGAAATGTTTGACAAATGCTGTAAAGTGAATGTCGGGTTTGCTTCTGTGGGGATTAAAATTCTTGTGTTTACATAAATGGGTTTATATTTTGACAGCTATTACACTTGAGGTTCTTCCATCCTAATAACTATTTGTTAGGAGCTGTGAATGATCTGCTATTAGTCCCGAATTATTACTACATTCTGATGCTGAAAGATTTTTTTACTGAAAACAAAAGCTGGGGGAGGGAAGGGTTTTGTTCTAGATTATAATTGTGTTTTCTAACTTGATTTTGTTTTTGGTTTTTTTACTTTGGAAAGAAGTTTTGTGCATCTAAAAGGTTTGGGTCAATAGGTTATTCAAAGCTGAAAAATTGCATGGGCCAGTTCATCAAACTTGGTTGAATTGGTTGAAACATGTAGGTTGACTGTTCATGCTGTGCCTTTGCAGTTGGGGAAATAGAAATTTTAGTGCTTCACTGTGAAGTTATAAAGTATATGAGGTGCTGCCCTTAGATGTTTTTACATCTGAAAAGTCAAAATGATCCCTTTGATATCCTAATTGATACCCTGGTTGAATATTGAAATGAAGGGAGAGGTATGCCACACTGATTGTATCTCCTTGTGGCAAGCAAATCAAATGTCCCAATCACAAGCAGAAAGCCAATAATATAAGCTGAAATAAAAAAAATCACCATGTGTTGGGTGGTTGTATCCAACCTTCATTCATCCCTAACCTGACCAACAATCTTTACAAGAAGCACTCAGGTGAATATTTGGACAAAGACACATCATGGGCCTAGTCTATCTACAGCGCAAAAAAATATATATGTTTTGTTCATTGGTCTTACAAAAACACAATGCTACTAATTGGAGATTGCAAATTTAAGATTGGCTGAACTAGGCTGGCCTAAATGGTCATGCTGGAACAAGCTCTTTTCCCCCTCATTGATATACACCTCAAGGAAATAAGTTTCTTGTAATAAAACCGGAAGTGTCAATATTTCATACAGCAAACTTTAAACTGTTCCCTGCCCCCCTCTATTTCAAATGAAAAGGCTCCTGTCTGGTTAAAACGAAATCGAATCAAGGAACCAGGGCTGTGAAACAAGATTAAATTCCTACCCAGCAAATGGAAAACACTTTGCAGGCCTCCCAGTTCCCAAAGCGCAGCCCAAAAGAACTCTGAAAGGAATTAAAATAACAATTCTGACTTGTAAGGGCATCTTTGTGCTAATGTTTCAAAATGTCATGAAAAGTTCTGTATTGCTGAGGGGGAGCGTTTCCCCCTCGTTCTCTTTTTTTTTATTTCTGTTTGTACCACAATCCTAATAGCTGCCATTTTCCCAATCCTGGGGCTTTCTGTAGATCAGTGGATGTTAGGTTTAAACCTCTCTTTTCTTTGATGAAGCTTTCAATAAAAAAAAACAAAACTAAAGAAAAGCACTGAGTCTTGTGTTTTCTTGAGGCTGGCGTGGATCAAACTGAAGGGTGGCACAGTGTCCAGCACTAACGGGTCAGAGTGAGACCTCTGAAATCCTCCTGAGAAATGAAGACTGTCACAACATCTGGACCGAGATAATCTCAGTGTTTGCAAGGAAGAAAGTGTATTCTGTGGATAATTACACTATTATAACATAGCTCAAAAGACCCTGAAATGCACAGAAATTAGAATAATCTGGGGGTAATTTTTAAATAGGAACTGCAAGCTCCAACTGAATTGAAGAACAGTCCTAGCTGTGAGGAGAGAATCCATGGTTGAGGAATCGCCACATCCTGACATGTTCTCTGGCCACAATCTTCTATCTGGTGCAGACT